GGTTATGACAAGTGGTTTCGTAACTTGACTTACATGCTTAAAAGCTCATATTTCATTATATCAACCATACTCGTTTACGGACTTACGAGTAGCTCGACGAATATGAAAGATAATTAACCAAACCACTCTATATCCATCTATCTAGGTTTTTAAGCTTCTTTTGGCTTAATTGACTCTATTTAAGATGTGAGATAGAGCCGGATAGTTTTCTTGTCCTAGTATTAACTTAAGACTTCTACACGAATGATACCGAGCTCTGATGATTTCTATCGAAGGATGGACGAAAGCTCAGCCCCTTTTCATCCGAAACGAGTGAGGAGGTCTCGTCGACTCCTTCAAGCTGAACTTCGTATAAAAGCCAAACGGCTGCAGTACAACAGGATTCAGCCGTCCTGTTATGGTGACGTCGACCTACGAATCTTTTCTGCATGCATTTTCATACCAAATGAAATTTCCCCCAATAAGTGCTCGAAGCCTGGTATTAGTTCCAATCTCTACACTTTTTGTCTAGTAGACTCGATAAAACTTTTATCACCAATGCACCTTGTATTGTCATCACACTTGATATCCTTGTTTATTTTTACCTAATGATAATGAATGAATCTGTCAACTCCTTGGTAGATATAATTTCACATTAGACATAAACCATCACTTATTTTTATTATCCATCCACTGATGCGTATTTAAAGCTTTGATTTTTATGAATTTATTTCACCAAACCTACCTCATCTATTTGTTTTTATGCAGCGTCGACTCTTTCGTTGTATTGAGTTGGTTTAGCCTCCTTTATGCAACTTGGTCGTCTTATCTTGTTTTATATATGAACGCATTTTGCACGGAGTCCTTTGTCATCGTTACTATGATAATTCCCTGCTCCGGACTGTGTACTTGGGAATGCACTATTTGCACTATTAGAACCACAACTGAATTGCGCAAACAAAATCAAATTACTGCTTTACCTTAAGCTACAAGTCAAAATATCAACCCACATTTCTTATACAACTAAAGCAAAGCATTAGTCGGCTTGTAGCTGAGAAAAGCATATCTTTGGTCAACTATTGGTCTAGAATTTTTCATTTTTTATTAAATTTTTAGGATCTTCACGGCCTCTGCTTCACTTCACAATCTAGCCATCCCTTCGCAAACAGACCTGTGCACCAACTCTCAAATAGCCACGAGATTCATTGCTACGCTCTAAAAAAGCGCAATCGCAGCAGTATGCAGAAGAAGCAAAAGAAACATCGCTGCACCGTGACTTCCGACCCATTAACTATCAGTTCCCGCTGTGTGAATGTACCATTTGCAGTCGAAAGCGAAATAAAGCCAGTAAAATTTAAAAAATCTCCATCCGTGTCTCGACGAATACTTGCGTATAGCCCTCCTAATACTGCTGCAGCCTTTCTTAACGAAGACTTAAAGGTTACCGCTGCCAATGCTGAGATCGGTCCCTATATGAACAATCTAATTTCGTCTACTCCAAACTCAACCAACTTGGAAGAATTTCTGAAGCAAGAACACAGAAATGCTATTATTATTCAGGAGCGGTATGTCTAGTTACCTCTTATTTATCCATTTTTATGTCATTATAAATATATTTAATTGGTGAGACCTTAATTTCGCATAAAAATGCATGAAGAAGAAATTCGTAGGTTGATCTCACCAGAATGCGATGGCTGATTTCCGTTGTACTGCGGCCTTTGGCTTTAATACGACCTTCACGTTGATGCAGTCCACGAGACATCTGACCTCGTTTCATGTGAAAACTGGCTGAGCTTTTGTTCATTATTTGATGGACTTCATCAGAACTGGAGCTCATTCTTGTGAAAGTCCCACGTTACCACTAGGCTGAAAAATGTTAACTTGAGACTTCCACAGGAATGAGTTCCAGTTCGGATGAAGGATGAAAGCGCAGCCTGTTTTCACCCAAAACGAAGGCATATGTCTCGTGGACTGCGTCAACCTGCACGTTGTTTTAAAGCCAAACTGCTGCAGTACAAAGGGCTTCAGCCATCATCTTCTGGTGAGGTCAATCTACGAATCTACTTCATGCATTTTTACACAAAATGAAAGTCTTCCCAACAATGTTATCGCAGGAGATTCGTATCTACAATCGTATTATAGCCGTCACTAAGGGCATAAAGTCTAGAAATATTTTATTTTGGCGATGCCCTCTGGATTTCAAATTCTGATGGAGACCGTATATATGCAATGCCCAAATGTACTATCTAGCTAGTAAGTTTATTCGACGAAATTTAAAGCCATCTAATTATCATATCTCCTCTACTTCAGGATATGACCATACACTGATCAACGTAGA